CCCCCTTCCCCGTCGGCCCCGCCTCTCCCGCTGCGGCCGCCGCGGCGCCGCGCTGCTCGACGTCAAGAGGCCGGAATTAAGGGACGGAACGAATTATTTAGTTGCAAACAGGAGGCGGCTCCTCCGCGCGCACTCGGCGCGGCCCGCCTCCCGCCCGGCCCCTCTCGGCCGCCTTTGAGGTCCCGCCTCCGGCCACGCCACGCCACCCTGCTCTGCTCCTCGACGACGACGTGGACCTTGGACTCAAAAGTGCGGTCCACGTGGCCGCGCAGCCGCGCTCGGTGACGTCATCGCCTCTTGCTGCTTTGCGTTAACCGCGCAACTTCTCCCTGGCTGTTGCAGATTGCGGTACAGACTGAAAGCGGAACCACAGAAGGTTTACCAGAAGGAAATGCACCTACCAATGAGAAAAGGTGAGGACGACCTTTACGGCGGTTTCTTTGATTTGAAATTTTCATACCCAGTCATCGTAACTCGCCGACCCTCCTTTGCAGACTGCACGCTGTGGCTGTGGCCCTCCTGGGGCGACCTGTCCTGGCTGGACCTGCCGCAGCCCGCCGACTGCGTCGTGTGGTTCCCGTCCCGGAGCTTCCACGAGTCGGACGCCATCGTGTGGGCCGGGGCGAGCCCCTCGGCGGTGGCCTCCCCGACGGAGGGCGGCGACGACAACGCCATCCGCCGGGGGCAACAGGACGGGCGGCGGCGGCGGGCGCGGCGCGCGCCCAACCTGCGCAACGCCAACCGCAGGCCTAACGACGGCCAGGACAGCCAGGACGACCAGCGCGTCGACGGCGACGACGTCATGAGAGAAGGCAGGGACATGCAGAGGTGAGTGTCGTGAGTCGTCATCGTCGAGGTCCCTGTCGGCCGCGAGCTGACCGCTTGTTGGTGTCCTTCAGGGCGATGGGGCTGCTCGTGGACCTGATGCGGCTCAACGTGGCGTGCTCCTCGGGCGGCTGGCTGCACATCGGCGAGCCTGCCGGGGGCGGGTCGCTGGCGCCCTCGCTGTCCGCGCCGCCCGCCAACAGGCTGTGCGGCAAGCTGGAGGAGCTGACCGCGCCGCAGCGCCGGCTGCACTTCCAGGCGGCGCCCGCCCTCCGCGTGCACGGCGCGCCCGTGTTCGCGCTGCGCTACCGCCTCGTGGACTACTGCCACCGCGTGGCGCTCGTGCAGCGCAACGCCTCCGTGCCTCTGGCCGCCTCGCCGGGCCTCACGTGCACGTTCAGCGTCTCGCTGCCGCACGGCTACCACGTCAACCTCAGGTACTCAAATCTTTGTCCTCCTTCGTGTCCTTCCTTCGACTCATAGGCTCCGGAAAGATCTTACGTTTTCTGTCTCGTTTGCAGACTGCTGGCGGGCCAGCCCAGCGTGGGGACGGACCCCGAACCCGTTGACATTGACGCCGTGGAGGAAGTGAACGTCTCCACCGAGGAAGCCGAGGATCTGGATGACGTGGATGTGGTCTCGTCAGACACGCTCCTTCCCCCCGTTACGGACGCCCCTCTCGCCCCGTCGTCGTCCTCCTCGCTTTCGTCCTCGATGGCCTCCACGTCCGGGGCCACCGCATCCGGAGTGTCCACCAGCACGTCGTCCTCCACCACGACTTCGTACTACCGCTCGTCGGCTCGCCATGGCCCCACTGCTGCCAGCAGCTCGACAAAGCCAAAGCGGCCTAGATCCAGAAGGGAAGGCCCCGAGCAGCCCGCATCCTCGGCCCTGACATCAAAGCCAACTCCGTCCAGACCCACACCGTCGTCCGTCAAAGTGGCTGAGTTCCTCCGCGACGCCATGCTACGCGAGAGAAAGGCGGTGGCCCAGGAGGGGCTCTTGCCGGGCGTCCTGCCGGGCCTCCCTTCCGCGCAGGAACTCGTGGGTGCGCAGGCTCTGCCGCTCAAAAGGTAAGGGTACACTGAAAGGCTCCGTTCGTGTCCAGCAGGATCCTGTTTGTGCTAACTGGTACAAAACGCTTCTCTTTCCACAGTCACCCCGAGCACACCGACTACACCGTCGACACGGACGCGTTCTCGTCAACGTCGTCGTCCGAGGAGACCGGCGAGGTCTCGGACACGGCTGCGCCGCCGCCTTCGAAGCGCGTGCGTCGCGACTACAACGACGTCATCCTGGAGGTGGACTCGAGCTCCGGCACGCCGGCCTCCTCCTCGTCCTCCTCAGAGCCCGTGTGCGAGGGGACGTGGCTGAACCTGACGGACGGCGCGACGACCTGGGTGCACTGCGCCGCCAAGGAGCACCCGGCGCGCCTGTTCCGCTTCCTCTCGGCGCGCAACGCGCTGCAGCTGACGGTGCGCATGGGCGCCGAGGCCGTGCCGCTGCGCCTCGACTACGACGCGCGCGCCGTGCGCCACGTGGTGCAGGGCTGCGCCTTCGGCTGGGTGGCCGTCGGCCAGTTCTGCGTCACGGCCGTCGAGGACTTCCGCCTGAGCTGGGCCGACGCCGAGACCGAGTGCCGGCGGCGGGGCGGCCACCTGGCGTCCATCCCGGACCAGGAGGCGCAGCGCGCGATCGACGACTTGCTCACCAACAGGTGAGGGCTCCTCGTTAGCTCCGACCCCCGGTTGCGCCGTCGAGCAGCCCCGCGGCCACGATTCGTTTCCCCCGCGCCGCGCCGCGCCGCCGGACGCGGATTGCATTGGAAATCGGCTGCCCCCCCC